TATTTAGGCTAAGAATTTAAGTTCTGTTTTTTTAATGATTATTAATTAAAACTTGATTTCTAAATAACAATAGAAAAATAAAAGATTAAGAATGCTGTCAAAATTATAATATCTGAATATAAAGTTATTATAAAAATTTTTTTTTAATGTTAAGTTATTTATTACATCAACACATTAAATTTCTTATTAAATATGTAATTGCTCATGAAAGAAGAAAGTAAAATAAAAAGTGAGAACTGCAAAATAAATTATATATTTAATAAAACAAGATTAGTCGGCCTGGCTGGCAGTAATTTATTAGTAGGTATATAACGACCGCGACATTTCAACATTTACTTTGGATCCTTATCAAGTTAACAACATAAATTACCGATAATAATCAACACATGCTACAAGAATGCAAATTAATAAACCGTGATACGAAGTACAATAAATATTAAACTTACATAGATCATTGTGCGTCAAAATTATAGAAATATTTGAGTCATACTTAAAAATTGTGTACACGGGCGGAGAATAAATATATATTTATTATAATACAGTCATTTAACAACTTTATGCATCGTCATCAGAAGAATAATTTGATTCACAGTCAGTTGATTCAATTGTTAGATTGCTGGAGCTTTCCTCACTCTCTGTAATACTTGGCGCAATTAATAATAAGGCTGTTTCTGGTAGCAACGATTTTAATTTTTTTTGAGGTAATTTGCGCAAACTAGAAATAAATGGATCGGATGTTAATAGTAAGCTTAAAAAAAATGTCTTCCACTTCACTCGGGAACATTTTCTCGCAAAATCTTCTCTAAACTTTTTAATGTATTTGTTACTTGACTCTTGTGCGTCTTCGAACATTTGTCCTATTGGTAATAGTGAAGAATTGATTATTTATGCGTCATGAATTAAAATTTTATGCACTGAATTTGGCATGTAAAACCATGGATACAATTGTACAAAGTTGCGAGCTGTTTGTAAAGCATAATCTTGAAATTTAATTAAATCAATTTCATGGTTACACGAAATTGCTTGCAATATAACATGAAACCGTTTAATCAAATCTTCATCTACCCCCGTAATAGAAGCAGAAGTGCTGGAGTTTTCAAAAAATCATCGAGCGGTATTCCCGTCATTCGTGCTACCAAACCCAGGCTCTTTTGCACATCATTTACCGCGCTGGTTCTTAGTTAGCCCAGTTTATTCGTGCGGATTTTTCATTGAAACTTATACTTTGAATTTTTAATTTTTATTTTTAAAATATTCTTCACAGTGACAATAAAAAATTATTAATTGTCATTTTTTATGGATTTTAATTCTACGCTCTAAATTAAAAATATTTTAGCAGGTATCTAATTTTTCGCTAAACTCCTTCCTAAAGGGTCAAAATTTTGGGCCTTTTGAAAGGGGCTTAGCAAAAATTGACATGATACAAAATATTTCTATCTTGAGCCGTAGAATCAAAATGCGCAATAAAAAATGGTGATTAATATAATAAAAAATTGACTTGGGCTTAACTGAGCCCATATAGGGCCCCGGGCCCACAATGTGAGTACACTCCTGAATAGATATTTCAAAACCCTACAACTTTTATCCGAAACATTTTTGAATATTTTGCGTTTTTAATGTTTAAAATTCAATTCAATTCAAAACAAAATTGTTTTTCATTACAAGAACTTGCACCAATAGCAGGAATGCAGCTAAAAGCAGCAGTTCTTTGTTGTTTTCATTAAATAATACTTGAATCTACAACATGCAATAGGTCTGATCGCAGAACTCTACAGAACTCATAAACTTTTCTCTACGTTTCTTAAATTTTCCGTTGCAATTTTACGTTCATTTTCGTATAACTCATTTGTTTATTAATATCACATAAATTATTGCTATAAATTTTGTAATACGTGATAATATTCTACTTACTTCCAGCTGTTGAATCCATTTTGTAGATTTGGAATTGCTTTATTTTTATAGTTTTGGCGTCCTCCTGAATATAACGTTTAAAACTCAGCTCTGAACACAACACGTCTTGTTCGAGCGAGCGTCACTTTTGAAGTTACGTGTACGAGCAGATATAAGGGATAGGACGTTCTCTAGTCTAGAATCCGACCTTCGGACTATTACTCAAACAAACCCACCACTTTAAATCCTCAGAATCGAAACTTTATTTTTCGACTTTTGACCAGTTTTTTGGGATTTGGCCCCACTGTGCGTCCGTTAGCTTCTGACGACTATCTTTTTCGACCCTTGGGACGACGCGCGACGGCGAAAATCCTCGGGAGAGTACTGACTCACGGTAAGGTTGCCTCGTATAAAATTCTCAATGTAAAGCCACGACACCGCTCTTCGGGTCGCGCTCTCGCTCGGGAATGTTCGCGATAATTAGCGTATTCGCCGCCAAGGCGAATTATTTAGCGATCGACACCGAAAGCGAGGGGCACCGGAATGGTCTCGTGGCCGTGGGATCGCGACCGAAATCTATAACTCCTGGAGATTGCGGTAGGCGCGTCAATGACGACGTTTGATATCGCGAGTACGCCATTTCTCGCGCCCTTCGCGTTCACGACCGCGTGTCTCGTTGTGCGTAGTAATTCGCCCGGACGGAACTTAGATTCCACGTGCCATATGAATTACGTTAAAATGTTAATCTCGTCGGTTTAATTGCGTCTAGATGTTACTCGCGTGGACGTCCTACTCGCGTCAGAATATTACTCGCGTTCAGTCATTTGCGTTAGAATATTACTATTTGCGTTGGAATGTCGTTCGCGTCGACATACTATTTGCGTTAGGATGTTGTTCGTATCGACCGATTCCTTGTATTAAAATATTATTCGCGTTCTGCCAAGTATTTGCGTTCAATTAAAGTGCGTTCGGATTACTCGCGTTGGAATCTTGCCCGTGTTCGACTTCTTGCACTAAAGTATTATTCGCGTGCGGATGTTTCTCGCGTCCGGGTATTATTCGCGTCATTAATTACGGCCGGATATTGCTCGCGCCGACGAATCATTTAGATTAAGATTATTACTCGCGTTAGATTAAGATTATTCCTTGCGTTAGATTAAGATTATTACTTGCGTTAAATAAAGATTATTACTTGCATTAAATTGAGAGTATTTGGCGACCGAATTCCTGCACGGCTTGGGATCTTACGTTCACGCGTTCCGAACGTGACGCACTATCGTTTCGCGGCGTTTTACGCTATTATTTCACGTTTATTCCAGTTATGTCGTATTCGGTCGTAACTTGCGCCGATGTTTTACATTATTCGTCAGTTCCCACACAGCAAAATTGATCCCGGGATCATCCTGATATTGTCCCATTTCCGTCTTGGCAGGATAAGACGTCTTATGGTTGTCCATAAGAGCTATCAGTAAGATCTTGATCTACTCAAGATTAATATAAGATAGTTTGAGGATATCCTGCCATAACAGTGCATAGACGAGCAAAGCGCATTCTCTAAAAGACATCCCATAGATGTACCCATCGACAGATGCGGATGCAAAATTATATCTCATAGACGTCTCGTTACCCCTTCCTTTTGACATACTTTTTTAGACGTCTTATGGCTGTCTATAGGAGATATCAATAAGATCGTGATCTATTCAAGGTTAATATAGAATGATTTAAAGATATCCTGCCATAACACTGCATAGACAAGCAAAGCGCATTCTCTAAAAGACATCCCATAGATGTATCCATCGACAAAGGAGCCCGCACACATCCTTATGGAAATAAATTAAATTTTGGTTAAATCGTCTGAAACTTTCAGAAAAGTTAGTTCTTATGTTGATCAAAAGTCATAATGGACACGTAGTCCAGAAATGGCCAGTTTTTGAGATACGTATGGTTAAAAGTCGGAAAAATGTTTTTTTTTTTAAATTCGACTTTTAACCATACAATCTCAAAAACTGGACTCCTTGTCCATCATGATTTTTGATCAGCATGGTAATAATTAACTTTTCTGAAAGTTTTAGTGCGTGCGTGCGTGCGTGCGTGTGTGTGTGTGTGTGTGTGTGTGTGTGTGTGTGTGTGCGCGCGTGCGTGCGTGCGTGCGTGCGTGCACGTGTGTGTGTGTGTGTGTGTGTGTGTGTGTGTGTGTGTGTGGCTACACTTCTAAAACTATAAGACAATATATTATATGTCAAGATCATCGATATTGCAGCTCAGTCTCGTAATCTGGATTTTCACCAAACAAAGTAACAAGACGTCTATGAGATGTGATTTTGCTTCTGAATTTGTCGGTGGGTACATCTCCCTGGTAAAAAGGACCCCGCACAAAACCACGTAATGCGTGCGGCGTGCGTAGATAACCCATGTAAGCTAGATCTGTTGGTCATATTCCCAACTTTTGACCTCTCGTATCTTGAAAATTGGCCATTTTCGGATTTCGCGCCTAGAGACTTTTGATCAACATCACATAAACTACCGATTCCCAAAGTTTTAGTCAATTCGGTAGAACGGCTTTTTCACGTGGTTTTGTGCGGGGTTCTTACCGTTAGAAACGGATAGAACGTGCATTCTATCCGTTTCTGACTGCTTTACTATGCGTTTCTTTCCTTGCAAGTACGGATAGAAACAGATGTAAAGTGTTGCAGATTCTATAAGACTGTGTACGCAAAGACGGTGGGGAAAGGCTAACTGCATCTAACTGATTCCTAACGGAACGGAACTTATCCGAATCTATGCGCAAACGTAATTACGAATCCTATCCGTTTCTATACGCAACCAGTTTTGAATGTCTATCCGCATCTGATTGCGGAACCTGACAGAATATCTATCTGCATTTATACGGAACGGAACTTATCCAATTCTATACGCAAACGTAAATACGAATCCTATCCGTTTCTATACGCAACCAGTTTTGAATGTCTATCCGCATTTGATTGCAAAACCAGGTAGGATATCTATCTGCATTTGCATGCAATTATGATTTGCCCGTTCTATCCGTTTCTAACTGCAAATGCATTTTATTCATTTCTTATTACTGAAAATACATGTACATTGTGGGATACATGTCCAGGCAGCTGGATCGCCAGACGAAGGAGCAGTGGGAGACATCCCTAGGCGCCACACGCGAGTATCCGCGATTCGACCAGCTCGAGCAATTCCTCACCTCTCGAGCACGGGCACTCGAGAGGATTGAGTCTACGGCCAGCTCTGGAAGCTCGGCAGGGGCTGCTTCAACAGCACGGCGCTCCTCGACGGCTCGTCATGCGGCAGCTCAACCGGCACGCACTACGACATCAGACGGCTCAACGGTGTACCCGTGCGACTGCTGCAACGGCACGCACTTCGTGGTGACGTGCCTTAAATTCAGGGAACTTTCACCGGGCGATCGACAAAAGTTAGTCATCTCACAGAGGCTGTGTTTTAACTGCCTCGGCCGTCACAACGTCTGCTCATGCAAGAGCTCACGGGGGTGCAAGAAGTGCACCAACCGACATCATACGATGCTGCATGAGGCACATCAGACCGACTCATCAGCGAAGCCAACCACCAGCTCAGCCTCAGCATCCCAATAGGACAATGGTGCAATCGTCGCTCACTCATCTTTGGCCCACTCATCACACTCAACATTACTCGCTACGGCCCTGGCTCAGATCAGCTCATCGGTTAATACTCAGCACGTATGGCTTCTCATCGATACAGGTTCAGAACTTACCTTCGTCTCTGAATCACTCATTCGTCAGCTCAACATTCTTCGTCATCATTCTGTCATTCTCATTACCGGAATTGGTGGCGGAAAGTCCACGCAAACTCGAGGAGTTGCATTCCTCAAGCTCCGCTCACTTCGCTCAAGATCAGACGTCATTATTCAAGCTTACATTCTGAAGACGTTAACAAACATCCTACCATCATTCAACGCTGCACCCCAGGAATGGCCGCATCTCACCAAGTTAACCTTGGCTGATCCAGATTTTCTGACACCACGGCCAGTGGATATTATCATTGGAGCTGACTCATATGGGCAGATCATCAAGCCCAACATCATTAAACGAGATACATTGATGCCAATTGCGCAGCTCTCAATTTTCGGATGGCTCGTTCTCGGACCTGTCGACACATCATCATTGGCATCTGCTGCAGTGCATCATGCATCGATTCAGGAGAGGGAACATGCTCTCGACGAGTTACTGTCGAGATTTTGGACACAGGAAGAAGTGCCTGCGAGCAACAATCTTGATCTTACTTCTGACGAGCAAAGATGTAAAGAACATTTCAAGAGTACTGTTTCACGGTACTCAACAGGTCGATACACAGTTCGACTTCCACTAAAATCATCACCTGATACTCTTGGCGATTCGTATCTCACTGCGCATCGATGTTTGCAAAGTTTACAAAGAAGACTCTCCCGAGATGACAACTATCGACGTCTGTATCATCAATTTATGACAGAATATCGAGATTTCAATCACATGAAGAAAGCTTCACCCGTTTCCAGTCAGCACACGCAATATTATTTGCCACATCACGGAGTGCTCAAACCATACAGTGCAACCACGAAATTACGTGTGGTATTCAATGGCTCGAGCGCATCTACATCTGGCCGCTCACTTAATGATTTCATGCACACGGGAGCCAAGTTGCATTTAGACGTCACTGATGTCTTGCTCTGGATTCGACAATTTCGACACCTAGTTGCCACGGACATCACCAAGATGTATAGACAGATCAACGTGTATAAGGATGACTGGAATTTACAAAGGATTCTATGGATCGACGAACTGCTCAATGAAGTGGCATATTATCTAACCACGGTCACGTATGACACCAAGGCTGCCCCGTTCTTGACAGTACAAACGCTGCTGCAACTGGCGGAGGACGAAAGCCATAATTTTCCTCTTGCAGTGCCGTCCATCCTTCAAGGTCGATACGTCGACGACAGCTTTGGAGGCGCTGACACTGTCCAACAGCTAATCAAAATTGCATTGCAACTAAAGAACTTGTGCATGGCGGGCGGTTTTCCATTGGCCAAGTGGCACGCGACTCATCCAGACGTGCTCACTGAGGTTCAAGCAGAAAAGACCAGGGCTCACAAATTACATTTGACGATTGCGTTACCAAAATACTCGGATTACGATGGCTTCCTCAAGAAGATTCATTCGCATTCTCAACAAGGATCTCGTCGCACACCGATCATCTCACCAAACGCCTCGTTTTGTTTGAAGTGGCTCAGATATTTGATCCACTAGGCTTTGCATCACCAGTCGTGATCAAGGCGAAGATGCTCTTGCAGGAGCTTTGGCTTCATAAGCTCCAATGGGATGAACCACTGCCATCCCAGCTCTCATCACGGTGGCTCACCATCAGAAAGGAACTCACCAGCTTGCGCAAGATCTCAATACCTCGGTGGTATAACACATGGAGTACATCGTCAGTGGAATTTCACGGCTTTTCTGATGCTTCTCAACTGGCAATGGCTGCAGTCGTATTTATCACCGTCCACGGCTCTAATGGCGCCACGATTTCATTGGTGTGCTCCAAAACAAAGGTAGCACCGCTCAAGCGGCTCACCATTCCGAGACTTGAACTCACCGCAACTCACTGCTGCTCTCAAGACTTATGCAATACGTTCAAGCCACATTGAAGTTGAACGTTACAGCAACTCACCTGTGGACGGACTCTGTTGTGACACTCACGTGGATCAAATCTCATGCATCACGCTGGAAGAATTTTGTGAGAAATCGAGTTTCTCAAATTCAAGAGCTCACTGCGAACGCACATTGGAAATACGTACCAGGTACGTCCAACCCAGCCGACTGCGCATCACGAGGATTAAGTACTGCTCAACTCCAAAGCCACTCATTATGGTGGACGAGACCACCGTGGATACTCACCCCTGAAGCATGACCATCACAACCCGCGCTTTCGGGCGAGTTGAGCGCGCATGAGGCTCGTCCTGGCATTGCGCTACATGCAGCCGCATCTCAACCGGACTATTACTGGGACTTGATATTTAGGTACTCAACTCTCAATAAATTATTGAAAATAACAGCTCTTTGTTTCAGGTTCATATCGCTTCTGAGAAAGCGCCGATACAAGCCACTAGACTTGCACTCAGCTTTGGAGGAGGCCAGATTATTCTGGATCAAGGCTACTCAAGCGGCATACTTCCCGTACGAGATCAAGATGCTCACGGCCAACTCGAGACTACCAACTGCTCACGCATTCAGTCGTATATAGACGCTCAAGGGATCATCCGAGTTGGCGGCCGCCTCAACCAATCAGCACTAGCTCAAGACAACAAACATCAGGCGATTTTGCCTCGCCACTCACGGTTCTCAACCTTGATCATTGCACACGCCCATCTGCGTACCTTGCATGGAGGAACACAGCTGACATTGGCTCATGTCAGGCAACAATACTGAATCATCGGCGGACGGGCTCCAGTGAAGTCTCATATTTTACGGTGTGTCGTGTGTGCTCGGCAGAGGGGGATCCGTGCTCATCAACTGATGGGCCAACTACCTCTCTCTCGGGTTACGCCGTCACGTCCGTTTACTTATACAGGAGTCGACTATGCCGGACCGCTCACCATCAAAACATGGAAAGGACGAGGTGCGAAAACATACAAGGGATGGATCTGTGTGTTCGTCTGCTTCTCCACCTCCGCAATTCACCTCGAAGTAGTCAGTGACTACTCATCAGAAGGATTCATAGCAGCCTTCCGAAGATTCTCAGCGAAAAGGGGAATTGCTCAGACCATATATTCGGACTGCGGGACAACATTCATTGGAGCAGACGCCGCGCTCAAGGAAATGTTCATCCAGAGTTCCCAAGAACATCAACGAATCGCTCAAATTCTACAACGTGATTGCACCAGATGGGAGTTCAACCCACCAGGCGCTCCACACATGGGGGGCAAGTGGGAGGCGGTGGTGAAATCCGTGAAGTTTCATCTGAGACGGACTATCGGGGAGACTCTACTCACGACGGAAAAACTCACAACGTTGTTTACGCAAATCGAGGCCATTCTCAACTCGCGGCCTTTAGAACCGCTGAGCGACGACCCTGAAGACGTCTCTGCGCTCACACCAGGTCATTTCCTCATTGGAGGTCCAATCACTACCATACCCGAGCCATCTCTGATTGACCTAGCAACCTCACGACTATCTCGGTGGCAGCTCATCCAGCAGCGTGTTCAACTTTTTTGGGCACAATGGTCGGCTCATTATCTGCAACGCCAGCAGGCGATATCCAAGTGGCATCATCCTAACAACAACATCAAGGTGGGTTCCATCGTGCTGCTCACCGACGAACGCTCTCCACCGTGCAAATGGCCACTCGCCAGAGTAACAGCTTTGCACCCCGGCAAGGATGGACTCACCAGGGTGGTTACTCTCAAGATGGCCACCACGACACTCACTCGGCCAAGTGCCAAGCTTGCCATATTACCCATTTCAACCGGATGAAGGATCAAGAGTAAGGAATCATCAACAAAGTTGCTGATGGCGGGCGGAATGTTCGAGATTCCGTTAACGTTGCGTCCGATCAGATGGCAGCATCGATCGGGTAGCGACGCTAAATCACCGCGGCAGCTTGCGCACGCACGGGCGCGCTCATCGCCAACGTCTTCCTCGCGATCGAGACACTTGTACAAATGGCCGCGCTGTGACGAGACGCGTAACGTGTGCTCTGTACGTTTTTGCATTGTGACTCCGGTTAAGAGTGCATATCGCAGTTACCACGCTGCCTAGATCTTCTCTCAACGTGTGAAATAGACCGCTCATCAGCTCTGGTGCCTCAACACGACAACTCAAGCTCACACGTGCGCGAGTGCCGACCGCCACGTGTCTCACCGGCTCACGGGCGATTCATCGAAGAGGACGGCGATTAATATAATTGCCTCTCGCATATACGGACTCGAAAGACATCTCATTTGTTCACTGCTCATCATTTCTCAGGTCAGATTGTATCATTTTGACAGCTCAGACCTCAGACTGTGGTCTGAGTTACACAAAAAATAAAGGAATCAATTAGTTAACACCTTCCACGCGCGTCCTTCTCATCCCGCTTCCATCACCGGGAAAAGTCAGCGATTTCGCGAACAGTATGCAATGCCAACCTATAGGAATCTGTTTGTAACTATACGGATACGATTCCTGTCTGTTTCAAATAGAAGTTGAATATTTCTTCAACGTTGCTGTTATATAGTCGCTGATATAGTCGCTGGTAATATCTAAAGAAATCCTGTTTGCTCTAACAGCAACGTTGAAGAAAAAATTCAACTCCTATCTGAAACAGGCAGGAATCGTATCCGTAGTTACAGACAGATTCCTATAGGTTGGCATTGCATACAGATGCAGATGGATGCGGTATCCGCAATTACGGATAGATACCGTCAGCATCTGATGCGTACAGACTGCGGATAGAAACATACAGGATTTGTATTCGTAGTTGCAGATAAATTCCTGTAGGTCTACATTGCGTACAGATGCAGATGGATGCGGTATCCGCAATTACGGATAGATACCGTCAACATCTGATGCGTACAGAATGCGGACAAAAACAGACAGGATTCGTATCCGTAGTTGCAGACAAATTCCTATAGGTCGACATTGCGTACAGATGCAGATGGATGCGATATCCGCAATTACGGATAGATACCGTCAGTATCTGATGCGTACAGAATGCGGACAGAAACAGACAAGTTTTTCTATTGCAAAAGCTTATAGATGCTGTATGCCGATAGATTTCCATTAGATACAGTTATACGTCGTTACATTTTCTGTCTGTATTTGCAGATACAATAGTGCTGCTTACAGAAACGGATAGGGCTAGAATTTTCTTTTCAAGCTTGCAGTTATAGCGGATAGAATTCTGTTACATACCGTCAGAAATTCTATCTGTTTCTAACTGTTACTAACTGTTACTAACTAATTTTTACCAGGGCTGTGGGATGTTCTATAGACAGTGCGCATTGCTCGTCTAAGCACTGTTGTGACAAAATATCCTCAAA